TCTTATGGGCTCAGGGCCTCCCCAGGCCACTCCCTTGTTAAGGAGGCTTCAGCAGCTGCCCAGGTGAAGCTGATTTTCTCCATTGAGACTTGCTGGGGTGGGAGTGGGGGGGTGGCATGGAGGAGCGGGTGGGGTCTAAGCCCCATGGCCGCTAATCAATCAGGCAGCTAGTTCCTACAGATCCAGGGCCTCTGAGGCCGGCTGCTTAGGTCTCTGGTCTTGAACTAGGAGCAAGAGGGACTCTGGGGAGCTAGGGCCGGGGGCGGGGGGGAGGGTGGGGGCAGGGGGCTGGGCAACCTGGCCATGACACCATAGGACTGACACGGCCGCAAGCTGCTGTCAGGAGCACATATCCACAGAGGGTATATGGGGTTCATGCAGGAGGGCAGCGCGCAGCAGCATCGCCAGGCACCGGGGCCTCAGCCCTTCCAGAAAATTCCCGAGGTGAGCCGGGCAAAGTAGCTGGATCAGCGGTCCTCGATGCATGGTGGTTGCAGAAAGGATCAGGAGGCTTGTTAACATTATAGACTCCTGGGCCTGGCCGGTCTGGGGTGTGGTCCAGGTGATGGGGTGCTCCTTGTCCGCAGGGGTGGCAACAACTCCCAGAGGGGGGCGTGGCAAGTGTTGCTGGAATGAATGAGCGGAGGAGCCCCTGCTGAGCCTGGTTCAGCAGCTGCCTCCCATCGTCCCTGAGCTCACGGAGCAAAGGACAGAGAATGGCTCCCGCACCAGGGACCCGCCAGCTAACTCTAGAGCAGTGTTCATGACATGGTTTAAGTGAGGGTCTGTGGTTGTTCTTGAACAGGTACCACGTTCACAGGGTCCCAAGTTCAAAGGGGGCTTGCAACAGTGTCCCTCCTGCTCTATCTCTCACCCACCCAGTTCCTTCTGGAGGCAGTCAGGGGCATGGGTTTCTTCAGTGTCTTTCCAAATAAATGTGATGCATGAGCAAGAAAACACCATGCTTATCCTCACTCCTTATTTTTATGTAAGTGGCAGCAAATGCTACATAGTATCTATATCTTGCTGTTTGCATTTCATAGTACAACTTGGAGAGAAGTTCATGCTGGCAGCATGTGAAAAGCAATCCTTATCCTTTTTTATGGCTGCTGGAGCCTCCCAGCAGAGCCACACTGTGATGGGTAGAAACATTCATTTTCAGTCTTTGACGCTGACACACGACGAGGTGGTGTGTAACCAGTGTGTAACGGCACAGGGCGTGTAAGCCGGGTCCCGTGTGAAGTCTGCTCAGTCAGCCAGACTTGTTAAATTCAGGACTAAAAGTAGAAGTATCCCTCCCTGGAAGCGTTCAGCATGCAACGTACCTGTCGGGGTGGCTTTACTTAGGAGGCTCTTGGAGATTATGGGTCAGCCGGGAAGACCCGAAAAGCCCTTCTGTTTGGGCTGGAAGTGGCAAATATTGAACAGGTGGGCGGTGCTCAGCATGCGTGAGCTCCTGCCTACACCCGCCCACCTGTCCGCCCTGCTGCTCACACCCACGCCAGCAGGAGGTGAGCCGGAGGGAGGGGGTGGTTGGGCTGGGGAGGGGTTGCTGAGGGCTGGGCTCTGGCTTCTGGAGCCAAACAGTCTGGGAGCTCTGCCCCCCTTGAGCTGGGACAGCCCTGCCTTGTGCAGGGTTCTGAGAGCGTGGTGGGGGGGGCACTCTCAACCTGGGGGATGGAGACCCCTCTGGGCATGGATGGGATCTGGAAGGATCTAGAGTGGGTCTTGCTCCCTCTCCAGGGGGTTTCCTGTTCACCACTGAGTCCCCAGCACCCATAAAAGGATCCCGAACATAACAGATGCTCAATAAATTCTTGGGGTGCACATGATGACATGACCTCATGACCCTCAAAAAAATACCTCAGTGGACTTCCATTGGACTCTCCAACCAAACTAAGGGCTTTGTGACCATGAGGCAAGTTTACTTAGACTCCCACAGGCTCCGCATGCTTTCATTGTAGACGGTGCCCCTCGGCTCTTCAGTAAATTTTCCTCAGTTTTTGCACAATCAGCTCTGTGTACCTTAGCCCTATGCAATGTTATCTGTCCCTACATCTCAGTCTTTACTGATGGATTGATTTGAAGATTTATTTAAAGGTTATTTTATGGGTGCGCCTGGGTGGCTCAGTGGGTTAAAGCCTCTGCTTTCGGCTCAGGTCATGATCCCAGGGTCCTGGGATCGAGCCCCACATCGGGCTCCCTGCTCAGTGGGGAGTCTGCTCCTCCCTCTGTCTCCTGCTCCCTCTGCTTGTGCTCTCTCTCTGGCAAATAAAAGAGTAAAATCTTAAAAAAAAAAAAAAAGATTATTTGTTTTAAAGAGAGAGCAGGGGGAGGGGCAGAGGGATAGGGAGAGAGAGTCACAAGCAGACTCCGCCCTGAGTGCAGAGCTGGACCCGGGGCCCGATCTCATGACCCCAAGACCACGACCTGAGCCGAAACTAAGAACTGGTACTCAACCGACGGCACCACCCAGGGGTCCCTTTATCTCAATTTTGTAAAAAGTTAAGTCTTGTCCCTTTCCTGCTAGGATTTACTGCAGGTGCAGTGCTTCAAGCTGTGGCAAAGGGATGCTCTGCTTCTCTCTGCCTCTTCTGCCTGCCACAGCTGGACACGGTGGTTCCTGACCTGTGGGAGGCAGACTAACAGCCCCTAAAAGATGGCAGGTTCCACCCCCTGGAACCTGTGACATCTCGCACAGGAAGTCTTTGCACAGGGGACCACGAGTCTTTGAGATGGGGAGATCATCCCAGCTTTTCTGAGTGGACCCTAAAAGCAGTGACAAGTGTCTTTATAAGAGAAGCCGAGGGAGCCTTGCCACACACAGAAAAGAAAGCAAGGTGACCCCAGCAGGTCCTGGAGGTTGCCGGCGGTCACCAGGAGCGGGGAGAGGTGAGGAGTGGACTCCTCCCAGAGCCCCCGGAGGGGACACAGCCCTGCTCGCCCCCTTGATTTCAGCCCCCCTTGAAACTGATTTTGGACTTCTGCCCTCCAGAAGGGAGAGAACAAATTTTGGTTGTTTTAAGACACCCGGTTTGTGGTAACTTGTTCTGTACGGCAGCCACCGGCAAGTAACTTGTGACTGCCGGGGAGGGGAGGGGAGGCAGCTGGAAAGTTCTCATTTCCCGGGGCGCTGTCCTCGGACGGTTCCGTGCTCCGCTCTGCAGGGCTGGCAGGACTTCCAGAAGGTGCTTCCTCTCACTTGGGCTTCCCCGGTCCTTCGCAGAGGCTCCTGCCCTGTGTGTGGGGAGTGGGTCCATGAGGGGCCTGGGGCAGGCTCCCCTGCATCTGTCTTGATGCCGAGGCTGCTTCAGTCACCAGCTTGTCCCTCGGTCCATCTGCAGCTCCTGCAATCTCTGCGTGCTGAGCCGGGTAGCTGTCCTGCCGGTCACATTCGGGGACAACCTCACACCAAAGCCCCTCTGGGCACAGTCCACTTTCTGGTCCACAAAAATGGCTCCTGCATCTTGGCCGCAGCAGTTGTGAAGGGGAAGCTGCTGACTGTCTTCGGAGAAGCACGGTTTGACCCAGGTTTTTTGGATCCTTTTCTCTGTGGTCTGAGGACAGAGGCTTTGGAAGTCCACCCTCTCCACCATCACATGCTGTCCACGACCACATGGAAACAGTATCTCTGGGTGTTTTCTGAGCATCACAGACTCTATGGGGCCAAGGTCTGCTCTTCATTTTTAAAATCTGAAGGCAGGGGCGCCTGGGTGGCTCAGTGGGTTAAAGCCTCTGCCTTCGGCTCAGGTCATGATCCCAGGGTCCTGGGATCCAGCCCCACATCGGGCTCTGTGCTCGGCAGGGGGCCTGCTTCCTCCTCTCTCTCTGCCTGCGTCTCTGCCTACTTGTGGTCTCTGTCTGTCAAAAAAAAAAAAAAAAAAGCTGAAGGCATCAGATTTCATTATCTATAGAGGAACCTAAGTCTCTGTGTCACGGCCATAAAAGAAACCGGACACAAGGCACACAGAGGGAGACAAGTGACTTCATCCCATAAACCCCCCTGGCTCCTGCTATGGGCCACACCCAGCTCTAGGTAGCCTGGGGACAGCATCAAACAAGCCCCTTCACGGGGCTTGGAATGGGAACCACACATGTGAGGGACACGGAGAATTCACTGGCGTCTGGATGGATCTCACGGGACAGTCAAATCCTCACACTCACGCCCCATCGGGTTCTAGCACTGGCCGTCTGTTGCCTTTTCCTCAAAGGACAGCACGAACAGGAATGCAATTCCTGGCCCCACCTTTGCCCTTGGAACTTTGTATGCATCCCCTTTGGGGTCTCCCAAGACGTCCCAGGCTGACGTGACTGTCCCTGTCGCACTTCCTGCCAATGCGCTCGGAATCTGGTATGCTTCCTGTATATTTCTTTATCATGAAACACACAGCTGAGATGTGTCTTTCACACATACATGTGACCGTGAATCATCAGACGGGCGACTGTATGCCCCGGGATGCTCTCCCGGCTGGCTGCAGGGGAAACGACATCAATGCAGCTTAGAGGAGAGATGGGCCGCATCCTCGCGGCTCAACCCTCCTCCTGCCCCCCCACCCCCAAAGGCTCCGTGGGAACTCAGAATGAGTTGGGCTCAGATCACAGAAGATTTCATAGACCAAGTATAGACCTGGGAGGAAAAGCCACACGTCGTAACACTGACGTTCAACACGTCCTGTAGCACCTTCCCGTTGGTAACATTCAATCTGACCATGACAATGAGGGAGCATATGAATGATAGCAATGATGGCGTGACCTCCCTGACAAAGAGGTTATAAAACTTTATTGCAGCGTCTCACAGCAGAAATGAGTTTGCAAGGACGGGACTATCTTGGGATCTTCAGAGGGGGTGCCCAGGGGCTCCAGAGCACAGCGGAAGGGAGCAAGCCGCCACCAGGAGGGTAGCCAGGCCCAGGGAGCTGAACTGTTCCCCAGAGCTCTTGCAACGCCACACTGCAGCACCTCTGGCTGGACCTGGGGGGGAGGGTACGCAGGGGACCGGCTCAGGGCACCACGTGCCACCACTTGAAGGAGAAGGGCTGCCGGCGCACGTTGGTGCCACAGTGGACCTCCCCGTGCCGCACGTGGTAGGCGTAGAAGTCGTCGATGAAGGTGCAGTGCAGGCCCAGCGGCTCGAGCAGGGAGCGCACCTTCTCCTCCAGGCAGCAGCGGCCGTTGATGATGGGTCCGAAGGGCTTGGGGATGCCCAGGTGCTTGCCCAGCACCAGCATGTTCACCTGCGAAGGAGCGGGGTCCCAGCGCGGGCCAACGGTGTGCAGCCCACATCCCTGCCCGTGGGTCCCTTTTCCTTCTGACCTTCAGCACTAGCAGCCCACTACACAGATGGGGAAACGGAGGCCCAGACAGGTCAAGTGGGCCACCTCCAGCCGCCCTGCTGGTCTGGGCCTTATACCCAATTCTGTTGGACTCCAGCGCCCATGATCTCAGCGCTACCCTCTCCTTCCCCCTCTGCCACCTTCTGGCAAATTCTCCATCACTCCAGGCCCAGCTCAAGTTGTACCGCCTCTGCAAAGCCTCCCAGGAGTTCCCAGTCAGTGCTCCTCCTCTGGGCTCCTCCCGCGGCTGCCAGCCCGACGCCTGGCCCATCGCAGGCTCTCAGTAAGTATCCGTTGACTGGATGAATAAAGGACTACCTTTTTGGTGTCACTCTCCGTGTATTATCGTTTAAGGTAATGGCTGTTTCCTCCCTTATACTGGAGGTGAGCGGAGGAGGATTCTGGCTCTAGGCCCACATGGGTTTGCATCCCAGCCCGTCTCCTCAACCGCTGTGTGACCTCAGGCAGGTCATTTCACCTCTCTGAGCCTCAGCAGCCAGACGAGCCCAAGTGGGTTTCCGTTGCTATGACGCTCAGACGTCAGGCTCACAGAACAGGTGCGGGGTCAGTCTCTGGGGCTCAGGAGTCACAGATGGGCCTTTCTCTGTTATGGTCCAGACCCAGCCCCTGCTGAATGTCTTGTACCCTGAATTTCTCGGCCTGTTCCATGCCCACACCCACGCCCCGACCTCCCACTGTGGGCTCCTGGGGTGAGTCACGGCTTATGCTCAGGCTCCTTCCAGAGCCTCCAGCAGCCAAGGCACAGAGCGGTGCCGATGACTTCATTCACCATGGCTCATCCCTTGCCCGGCATCAGCCTTCTTTCCTGCCTGGGAAATCCGACGGGGCTAAGACCGAGAAACAAAATGCCTGGGGCCAAGGAATTTTAGTCAAGATGCCCCCTCCTGCCTTGTTTTAGCCACAGAACCTCTTCCAAATAAAATCCTGTGGTACCTTGATGCCTAAAACAGAACAAATCCAAAATACCAGCTTTGAGGTACCGTCTTGGAACCCCAGTGACCTGGGGAAACCAGTTTGACGTCCCTGTGCCGGGGGCTCCTGGCTCCTCCCTGAAAGTTACCTCCAGCCCCAGCAGGAGAGGGCGGCTGCGGGGCCCCAGCAGAACTGGGTGAGGTTTCTGCATGGCCCTCGCATATCCTTTGGAGAGACAGAGTCAGGGCACAGGGACGGTAAAAATACAATAGATGTGGCTTTGAGATGGTGCTTGGCAGGGAGTGGGGCAGTCACGGCTAAGAGTTCTCGCCAAAGGCGGGATCTCCCTCAAGTCCCCCCTTCAGAGGACAGAATCCACCCAGCCTGGGCCATGCTAGCCTCGTGGCCTCAGAGAGGCCTTCCCGGACCGTCTGAAATGGTGTCCCCCTCTATTCCTTCCAGATGTGACCCGAGAGCAGAGCTCAGCCGCTTGATCAGCCCACCGCCCACCCACGGCGCCCCGCACAGGGACGCCCACAGGGGGCAGTGCCATGTGGTGAGGACATGGGTTCTGCAGCCAGATCCCCGGCTTTGAGACCCAGCCCCGAATCCCATGCTACCAGAGACCCGACTTCTCTGTGCCTCATCTTTGAGGTGGGAGCGTTGAGAGTCTTGGGCTCCCAGGGTGGTTGTGAGATGCCCAGAGCCACCCTGGGAACTGCCCGCGGCCACGCAGACCCCAAGCTGACAGCCAGGCCCCCCGGATCCGTGCCCAGGGTCCCTGACTTCAGGCCATTGGCAAAGGTGGGCTGACCCCGAAGACCACCTTCCTCACCATGTTTGGAAAATAGGCTTCGGCCTTGAGGGTCCCTTTGACCTCCTCCTGGAGCTTGAAGAGCTGGGGGATGTCGATGATGTCCCGCTCGGTCAGGCCCAGCTCTCGCTTCAGCACCTCTCGGTTCCAGTCGATGCAGCTCTAGGGGCGTGGCGGGGGGAGCGGTGGGAATGGTGGAGCCAACTGGCATGGGGGTCGGGTGGCGGGGTACGATGAGAAGGTGGAGGGCCTGGGTAGGGGTGATGGGGCATGACAGGGCCGCCACGGGGAAGGGGTGAGGAAAGCTATGGGGGAGGGCGGTCTGGAGCTGAGGCCTGGCCAAGGGAAGGACCAAGGACAGGGTCAGGAAGATAGTGATGGGCACCTCCTTCTCTTCCCTCCTTCTCTCCCTCTGTTCTGCTCAGTCCCTCTGCCTCTGGCTTCTGCCTGGGTGTTCCCATCTTTACGGTCACTCTGTGTCTTTCTAGCACTTGGCCTCTCTCCTGCCAGTCCCTCTGTCTCTGAGAGTGTCCCCTGTCTTGCAGTGGCTCCAGCATTCCCGACTTCTCTTCCTCTCTTTTCCATGCATCACCATTGTGTGTTCCCACAGTGGTGACTGAAGTCTGTCTGTCCCACACACATTGACCCAAATCCCAAAGCCATTCACCAAGCCGACCCGCAGCCAGTGGGAGGCTCTGCTTTATGGCTCCCAGGGAAGGGAAGGCGGTGGGGTGGGTGGCTCAGTCCCCCTGGGCTGAGGCGTCCCCTGGGCTGGGCACCCAGGCTAGTACCTCCACGTATGAATTATGTTCTTTCAGTTTCTTGTCTTTCAGAAGGTCCTTTATTTTCTGGTTTTTTCCTGTCATGGAGAAAAAGGAAAAAGAATGAAGATGAATTCAGAGGTCGATGTCCCTCTTCCCAGTAGGCACAGTGGGGACTCAGTTTTCCATCTAGAAAATGGGGGCAGTTATAATTTCTAACGCACAGGTTCGTGGCGAGCATCGAGGAGGCAAAGGCCTTTAATAAAGTATTTCATCAGTGTAAGTTTTCCTTAAAAGTGTTTCTCTCCCTCCTTTAAAGTATTTCCAGAGGGATCCCAGCTACTAAGAGGCAAACAGAGGTCTAACCATTGTCCGATGCCACGCAACATACTATAGATATTAGGTAAAAACTCTCATCCGCAGGGAGTTACCAACACTGACCCAGCTCATGTCTGCGAACTTTAGGATTCCCTTCTGTGCTCCAACGAGATGGCTCTTTCTTTCCCTCCCTCCTTCCCTCCCTGCCTCCTTCCCTCCCTCCCTTCCTTCCATTCATTCATCATTTGAGACAGACTGAACTTTCCTCAAGTCCTCAAACACATTTCATTTTCTCCTGCCTCTGTGCCTTTGCATTCACTGTTCCCTCTGTCAGATCTCTCTCTTCCTCTCATCCCACTGCCTGCCCCACTGGGCAAACTCCTGCTCCTTCCTTGTGATCCTGCTTGGTCTTTGCCTCCTCTAGGAAGCCTCCCTTGAACTCCTCCCAGATACTCCTAAAGTGCCCGTGCCACCATTGTTTCCTTGACTACTTCCCCAGGACCGTGAATGAGCACCCGCCCCCCAACCCCCGTGACAAGGGGAGCTACTCCGCCCTGTTCACACAACATCCCTGGAGCTCAGCGTTGTGCCCAGGGCATAGGAGGTGCTCAGAGGAGAGCCGTTGCCCAAAGGCCCCCATCTGGCAATGGGCGACCGCATGAAGGCAGAGAAAGGACCTTGGACGGAAGAACAAGGCAGAGCCAACTTACTTTTGATGCCTTCAAACAGCGCAGCTTCCCCGTGGCCCTTCTTCAGCTGCTCCTCGAACAGTCTGTAACAGGACCTGGGGCTGGCCAGGAGCAGCCTGAAGCCCTGGGGGCAGAAACACTGGGCTCAGAGGTCAGCTTTGCCCCTGGGGCTCCCAGAAGTGCCAGCGTAGACCCAGGCTGCCCATCTCCTTTGTGCCCCCTCCTGGGATTGAGGGGGAGCTGGTCAGGCTTATAAGGCCAGGCCTCCCAAGCAGAGTGCAGACCAATGCTTAGGAGCCCAGGGAGCAGGCGTGTGGCTTCCTTCAGGCAGCCCCCCCAGACTGCACACCTTCTTGTGAGCTGGGACGAAGCTCAGGAACTCATCCACGTGGCCCACGTACAGCCAGTCGGAGTACAGCCTCACCGGGGCCTGCACCTGCTGGGCGCTGAGGAAGTCCTGCACGGCCTGGTGCATCTCGTGGTTCTCGGCGCTGCCGGCACAGGATGAAGGGAGCATTGTGGGGTGCGAGGGGCAACAGGGGGCCTCTGAGGGCATGAAGGCTTGCCAAGGGGGTCGAGGTTCTCCTTCAGCTAGGGAAGGGACTCAGAAGCCTGGATAACTTTATTCTATCCTCAAACATCAGAGGAGTTTACAATTTGCCATTCCAGTTTTTTGGGGGGAACTGAGACACCAAGTCAGTACAGTGAGTAAGACCAGAGCTCGGCCTCAGAAAGCACTGCCCACTGGCTCAGTCCAGATGCTGGGGTTGTGGGTAAACATGGGGCTAACCCATATTATCCACAGCGACAGGAAGAGCCAATCCGACCTCAGTGGGTAATCCCTTGTTAGCCATGTAGCCCTGGGGACATTCCTTTACCTCTGTGGCCTTCAGTTTTCTTCCTGCTCTGGCCTCCAAGAGCCTTCCTGATCTAGCCCTTCTCTTTCTCACTCAGTCTCTTCCAGCCACTCTGGCCTTCTTGAACACACCAGGTTCAGTCCTGTCACAGGGCCTTTGCACATGCTCTTTGATATTCCAGGAACCCTCTACCCCAGCTCTCCCCATGGCCATGTCCTTATTGTCATCGGGCCTTAGCTCACAAGCAGCCTTCTCAGCAAGGCCCTCCCTAGTCTCCCTATCGGTTCCCATTCCTCCTCTGTCCCTGTCTTTTTTGTATTCTTCGCTCTTTGAAATTATCTTATTTGTTTACCTTTGTGCCTCCCCTACTAGAATAGTGGCAAGGCCTTGTCTGTTAGGCTCATGGCTGCCTTCCTTCCTAGCACCTGCCTAGTGCCTGGCACACAGTAGTTGCTCAATAAGTGTTCACTGATGGAGAGAGTGTAAGTGGCAGAGCTTGCATTTGAGCTTGGGCCCACCGGGCTCCTAAGCTGTATTCTTCGCTCTGTGTTTTATTCCTGTCTAAGTCCCTAAAGTTTGTCGAGGCTCTTGGGTTGGGAGCACGTAGGGAAAGCTTCTGTTGTAGCCTCTGCTTTTCCATGACATGCCTGGGTCTCCCCTTCCCCGTCCCTTCCCCCACCTTTTATAAGATTTTATTTATTTATTTGACAGAGAGAGGCATAGCAAGAGAGGAAACACAAGCAAGGGGAAGGGGAGAGGGAGAAACAGGCCTCCCATGGAGCAGGGAGCCCGATGTGGGGCTCGATTCCAGGATCCTGGGATCATGACCTGAGCCAAAGGCAGACGCCCAATGACTGAGCCTCCCAGGCACCCCCCGCCCCTTCCCTTCTCACCTGGGGTAGCTGCTGCCCCCAAAGAGGATCCTGCCCAGAGGGTATTTCTTCTTCCCAACCTTGACCGGGGGGCTCACTTCCAGGTTTCCGAAGGAGTCAAAGGTAGAAGGCTCTCCATTCTCGGTTTCGCGAGTCACGTAGCCAAAATCTGGGCCCTGAGATGGGAGAAGCAATGGCCAAGCGTTAGAGAGCACGATTCCTGCGTGAGGGCAGGGTGGGGGCCAGGTCACAGGCAGGATCCGGTAGCGGTCAGAGATGGCACCGAGCGGGCACCGCTATGATCTGCAGGATGCCTCAGGAGCTCTGACTCAGGTGGTAAGAAAAGGGACGAGCACTTATGGGGTGCCCCATGCATGCCTGCTGCTTTGTAAACCTTAATTCTGGCATTATAACAAATCTATGAAGTATCATTTTTGTCCTCATTCTGCAGAGAAGAACGAAGGTCAGAGTGGTGGGTGACTTCTTCGGGCCCTACAGCCAGCTGGTGGAGGGATCTGAGCTGTGTCTCCAGCAAGCCCTCTAGGACCACACTGTGCTCCGTCCTGACTGGGCTGCAACCGGCTTCACTGAAGGGCTGTGATGCCCCTGTGTGGATCTTCAAGGGAAGAATGGGTGGGCGACACATCTCTCCCCCTCTGTGCGTTTCCTTTGGCTGGGGGAACGCAGCTAGTGGCTTAGAACAACACACATGGATTCTCTTTCGGCTCCAGAGCTCAGAAGTCTGAAAGCACTCTCACCGGGCTAACCGCAGGGGCCGGCTCCCTCTGGAGGCTCTGAGTCTGTTTCCTTGCTGTTTTGGCTTCTAGTGGCTGGTGGCCTCTTTCCTCAACTTCATGTCCTGTATTTCCACCATCACATGCCTTCTCCCACTCTGTCTTCCCTCTTCCAAGGAGCACCATGATTGTACAGAGCCCGCCAGATAACTCAGGGGCACCTCGCCATCTTGGGGTCCCTGACTTAATCACATCTGCCAAGTCCTTTTGCCACAAGAAAGCATCAGGTCCTGGGGATTAGGGCAAGGCCGTGTTTGAGGACACCACTCTGTCTACTGCACTAGCCCTAGCTTTCTACGAAAGGGGAGTCACTCCCAATCCCTCTTCTCCCTTTGCCTCTAACAGTGATGCCAGCCTGACTCCCATGCCCACTGTGCCCTAGAAACCTCATGACCCCAAAGCTGAGCCCAAAAGGCAGTGCCCACCAGCATCGGGGAGTCAGTTGGTCACACCCATGTCCTGTGCTTGGCCTTCCCGACACTGCACGCTCTTGGGTCTTCTCAGTCTCCTGTGTATGGGACAGGGTGTCCCCAGCCTAGTCCCTAGTCTTTGATTCCCTACAATTCTCTTCCTCTTGGTGCTGCCACCCAGTCTCACAGAACACCGACTGTGTGCTGACAACCCCACGTGTCTCCCTCCTGTCTGCACATCCCCCCTAACCCCTGACGGCCATCCGCTGCTTGCTTGACTTCCCACTCGGGCGTCCACCAAAAATCTCACACTCGCCCCAGATGGAACGGTCGACCCCTCTTCCCTCATCCCCCATCCCTCCCACAGTCCTCCGCACCTCAGGGCAGGATGGCTGCTGGTCACAAATGTTAAAGCCTGCCATCAATTTTGGCTTCCCTTTCTCTCACCGGGGTCAGGGAATCCTGTCAGCCAGGCCTTCAAAGCATGTCCAGAATGTGGCCACTTTTCATGCCCAAACCTGCACGGCCATCGCCTCTCACCAGGTTATTGTGCCTGCTCCCTCCCCACACCGCCTGCCCCCATTCCCTGTCCCTGTCCCTTCCCCACACCACCGGCCCCCCCCCCATCCATTCTCAACAAGGAACCAGAGCTTCCCTTTTTATCACACCCATCAGGTCATGATCCTCCTACAACAACCCCCAGTTTCCCAGAGTTTAAACAAAGAGCCTTGCAGTGGCCCACAGGACCTGCCCCCTCCATCTCTCTGACGGTCTCTCCTTCCACCTTTCCCTCACTTTTTCCTCCAAATCAATCCAGCTTTTATTGTATCTTTCAAACATCGCAAATGAGCCTGGAAAATCATCCAGCACCTTGCTAGTTCTCTAGCTGGACAGCTTAGATCTGACTCGTTGACCCACTGAACCGTTCCTTTTTCAGAAACATAGACACCGTCCCCCAATTTCCCGATATCCTTATTTTTAAGTCCTGTGGCTTGCTGGATCAAAGCTGCTGAGATTGATACAAGTTCAATGTCGTTTCCTTCAAGAATTAACTCCTCTTTCTGGGCTCAACAACCGGCCTCATCTGAACCCTGCAGATGTATTTTTCACCCAAGAAATTTTGGATTTCAACAAGAGAACCATTCTCCTGAACAACGATGTTGATGGGGAAGTGAATGTACCCAGACCTTGTCCCGGAAAGGAAGCCCAGGGGCCACGCCATTGACCGTGCTCCGTACACAACTGCAGATAGTACAGACAGGGCAAACGGTAGCCAGTTCTGGTGTAGTGCTCACTATTTGTCCACGGAGAGCCTCTTCTTCTTTGCAAGGAGACTGACTCCTACACTGATGTGATTGATGTCCCTCCGCAGGGCTCCCCTGGGGCCCTTCACAGTGAGTCCCTTCCTGAGTGATGTCAACATTTTCTGGAACATCCACGGTCCAAGGCTGAGAAACGGTCTTCGTCCTCAGTAGATGCAGCACAGAGACCTCACCCCTCCTCCTGCTCACTCTGCTCTGCCCCTTCTGGCATCCTGACTCTTCACTCAACATGAGAGTCTTGCTGCTGTCTCAGGACCTTTGCACTGGCTGTTTCTTCTCTCTCGTATACTCTCCACCCTGACATCCATACAGCCAAATCCTTCACCTCTTTGGAGTTTTTGCTCCAGTGTCAGCTTCCCAAAGGGGCCCTACCCTGACCATCCTATTTTAGAATTGCAACGTAATTCCCCCACCCCACCACTTTGGCACCCGGGAGCCCCTTGATTCTGTTTTTTTCTTCCTACAGCACTAGATTCCACTTTCCAACATGCAATATAATTTACTTATTCACCAGACTGCTTGTTTATTGTCTGTCTTTCTGGGCTAGGATGTCACCTCTGTGAGGGCAGGATCTTTGGCACTGCTCGCGGATAGATTCCAAGTGCCTGAAGCAAGGCTGGGCACAGAGAATGGGCTCCAGGGATATATGATGAATGAACGATAAGTTCATATGAGTCACTGCCTTGGCCGTTGCCACGAGAGGGGCTCAGTTCCATAGGCTGCAGGCTTGGATTTCTGAAGGTGAATGAAGGTGCGCCCTTTGCAGAAGTGCCCCCTGCCCCCAGGAGTGGAAGGGGCAGGGGACACCCCCACAGGCTACCTGATACTGTTTCTGGCCCAGACTTAGACACCTGTCACCCTGTCCGCTCTCCTCGAGTCTCTGTTCACTGAAGCCCCAGAGTGTGCAAATCCATTCTTGAAACCTGCTGATCTGTTTTCACAACCAGAGAGCACACCTGGGCTCACCTCTCACACTCACTCGCACTGAGCTGGCTTTAATAGTGTTATTGTGTTTTAACTGTTTACCTTCCCAGCGGCCTTCGATTTACAGTAAGCACTGCTGGTTTTCCGCTTATAGGTGATGTAACATTTACCGACATGGTCTAATGGGAAGAATACCCACCGTGCGTCAAGCTGTGCGCTAAGCGGCCCCTGAGTGGTGGAAAGGGAGATGACGAGGCAGTGATTTATAACAAAACAGTCCCGAAGAAACCAACGCAGTGCCGCAGCCCAGAATGCCAGGGACCACGGCGGGGCATCCTTCAACGCCTGGGATGGTCTCACAGTGGAGAGCACTGCAGCCGAGCCCTGGAGGCAGGGACACCGTCAAACATGGGAAGCAGGAAGAGCATTATGAGCAGAGGGAACAGCATATGCAATGGTTATGAGGTGAGGAGCAGTTGGGCACATTTGAAGAACGGGAAGGAGGCCTGTGGGATTTGGAGCTGGGTGAGGGATGGGGAGAGTGGCCCGCAATGAGTTTGGAAAAGCCGATGGGGACGCTGTCGGGTGACGAGTTTGACTTTGAGCCCAATTCTCTTCCTGAGTGATGGGCGTCAGAAAACCACAGCCATGCTTGCCTAAGAACGCGTCGCAGCCTCTCATCCAAGCCTGGGTGTGGGAGAGGCGGGGACCCCTGTGCTGAAGTGTCCATCTGCCTGGAAGGACTCGGGAGATGTGGCTGGTGATGTCAGAAGATCTGGCCTCTGTCACCCTGGGAGCATGGCTGTGGGAGACCGGTCGGTCGCTGAGCAGAGCAGGGCTGAAAGCAGAGGGATGGGCTAGGGTCCCCACGGGCCAGCGGGATTATTTATCCCAGTGGTGGTCCTGAAACAGGGGTAACCTGGTTCCAGTCGAAGAGACACCATGGACCCAACGAAGTCTCTCCATCATCACCACCCAGGGCAGGGGAGTGAGCGAGACTCAGACGAGTCGCTGAGTTGAGCTCAGATTTCCTTTCAAAGCCTCCTGTGTGGGCAGGGCTGCCTCCTCTTCCCTGGGGCTCAGGGTGCTCCCTGGCAAGCAAACTTTGCATCCCACACCCACACTCCTTCCTCCGTGCTTCCTCGGCGCCTGGAGTCTCTCAGCACCCGGGGTACGCGCCTGGCGGCACACGGGGTACAGAGCTCCCCGGGGCCAGACCCGCCCGGTTTCGGTGCCAGCTTCTCCTCTCTTCGTGTGACCTTGGAAAAGCGGTTGCCCCTTTCTGAGCCTCGGTTTCTTAATCTATAAAATGGGCCTCATGATAATATCTAGATTAAAGGTTGCTGGACAAATTAAATGAGTCAGTGCATGGAAAGAATTTGGCATCATGTCTGACACAGGACACACGCTCGATGAACGTACTATTCCCATCGTTACACTCTGCGCTGAGCTTACGCGATCCTGCGGGGCTAGTCCGGCTTGACTCACCGACATGTCACCCCACCCCCAAACACCTGCAGAGTCACACCTGGGAAATGACCGCTCTGATCCCCAAATCCACCCCATATCCCCCACAAAGGCCAGACTCCCCTCCCCCAAAAGACAGAGCCTCCAGCCAGACACTGAAGAAGATGCCAGTCCTGGCCCAACCCACACCTTGCAGCAAGAGCATCTTCAATGGGACAAGGAAGCCACAGCCGGACCCAACGTCCTTGGCAGGGTTATTTTGAGGACAGGCTGAACTCATGGCCGGAAAGAGCTTTGGGTAAGGGGGAGCCAGATCTCATCTCAGCGGCGACAAAAAGGTCATGGCCCGCCTGCGTGATCACTGCCCCAGCAGGAAGGGCTCCTGCTAAGGAGCCGGGGTGCTCGGCCACAGGTGGTGAGGAAGGGGGCCTTGGGCGGGGGGATCTCAGCAGCCGCGGCCCCACCAGCACGTACCAGCAGGCATTTGATGGGGAACTCCTTCAGGCCCCTGTTCCTCGGAGAGTCAAAGACCACAGGCAGGGTCTTGTGTGGGGCTTGGATGTAGCCGATTTCTATCTCGTCCTGTGCAGAGCAAGGGGAAGGAGGGCTGATGGGCATGGTCGTGACACCCAGTGCAAGGAGGGGGGCATGGACCCATTCACTCTCCCTCTGTGGTCAAGGGCAAATTCCCATGCAGTGTTCGAGGAGGGAACAGAGCTTATCGTCCCGTGTGTGCACAAGAGGGCTCACCCCCACTGCTGGTGAGTGCTGGGGCTGAGTGCTATAGGTGCTGGGGACTTGGTAAGCGAGCCTCAGGCCCTGTCCTCGGGGAGCTGGTCACCTAGCACCCTGTGTGAGGAGGTGATGGGTCAGGAAGGAGGGGCTCCTGATGGGGTTGAGATAGGCAGAGAAGGGGTAGCAGTTCAGACCCAGCCTTGCCCACAGGGCAGAAGTGGGGAAGGCTCCGAAGTGCACCTGGTGCAAATCCTGTCTGTATTCTGATAGATGTGATGTTGGATGGGACCCCCTCTTTGAACCCCCTGAAACGGCCACTCTTGTAGGTCAAAGACGGAGCTACCAGCACTTTTATACTGTTCTGTCCGACTTAGCCCAGACAGGACTTCTAGAAAGGAAGGGGTGTTCTCTGTGGGTTTGGGAGAGGGATGGGAGATTTTTGCAGGGGGAGGCTTTCTAGCTGGGATTGTAAGAGCAGGACCTGGATGTGGGGGATGGGAACGGGGAGGACAGCGGAGAGAGGGAACAGCACGAGCAGAGGCACGGAGGAGGTGGGAGCAGGGGTAATGCCACGGGAGGGCAAAGAGCCCGAGAAAGCAAGGGAGTGGCAAGAAGGCTCGGGTTGGTCGCCTGCAGCCACTGTCCCATGCCGGGTTCTGGGGTGCTGAGCTGAGTGAGACTCAGTCTCTGCCCTTGGGGAGCTCATGGCCTGATGGGGAGCCTGGCACAGAACAGGGGGATAGTGTGGCACCAGGCAGGCTGGCCAAAGGTGAGGGATAGCCAGGTTGGGGTGGGGTGGGGCTGGAGGCAGGCTGAGAGGGAGGAGATGGAAAGTGCTAGAGCAGGGGTGTGGCCTGGCGTGGTGGCTGAGCTGGGAAGGCTGGCTGGGAGGGAGGGCCCCTGGAGGGATGGGTTGAGCTCCAACCCTCTGAGCTTTGCGTCATTTCTGGAGGGCATCTGAGAGTTTCCACGCAGGAAGGTGGCCTGTACCTTGGTGACCCCGCCAGACAGGCAATGGCTGGCCGTAAAGGTCACTTTACTCACCAGCCTGAGCACCCACATGCCCCGGCCCTCAGAAGCGCCTCACTTCCTGCCCATCTGAGGAAGGGTGGCCCCCAGCCCCAGGAGCCTGGGCCCCCCGTGTCCCTAGCCTTCAGGAAGATCCACCCTGTGTGTCTCACCACCAACCCCCCCCCGCCCCCACCACGGCACAGACCTGCATCCACCGGTCATCGTTGTTCTGCTCCTTGGAGGGGACAGTGACCTTGCACTTGGCTTCCTTGGCCAGAGCTATCACCGACTTCAGGAAGTTCTCATTTTCAAACACCCTAGAAAGGGCAAGAAAGAAGCTTTCAGTGCTCTGGGTTCAGCAGACAGTGGCCTTGGCCAGGGTCTGAGGGGGCAAGCTGGACCCCTGCAGGGTCCCTAGGGGTGGAGCAGGAGCTCAGGCCTGGACGGATGGGGGGAGGGGCACAGTCATCGCTCAGGAGATGCTCGTGGCCTGGATGGCAATGCCGGCTCATCCTTTCTCTCTGCTCTCAGCAAACATCTCACTGAACTCTTACAGCAATCCCTGAGGGGACCAGCAGGCTCCCCTTCCATCTGGGAGAAGCCACAACAAGGAGGTCAAGGCTCAAGGTCAATGCTCAAGGCCCCTCTGGAGGAGGGGATGCCTCAGCCGAGGCAAAGAGTTGGTTTGCCACTAAGGGTCATGCCACATGGCTACACAGCACCAGGCCTTGAACCCAGGCCTCGCTGGCTTCCAGCCTGCGTCCTGACCTCCTGGCAACCACCAGCTCACCCCTCACCCCTTCTGCCCGGAAGCAGCTGCAAGAGAAGAGCGGAGGGGCCCTCTGAGACCCCAGCATACTCAACAGGTGTCCTCAGACGGCGAGATGGATGCCAAGGCTCCCCAGGGTGGCTTGTTAAAGGGCAGCTGGGTCCCATCCCCAGACCCCAGACCCCACAGTTCTGGGGTTGGCCGGGAACATGCATTTGAAATGGTTTCTGGTGCGGGAGGTCCACAGGCCGCACACTGAGCCTGAGCAGGCCGGCTCAGAGACTGAGGGCTTTCATCTGCCAGGTCTAGAAAACTCTCTGGGCCTTCGGGAGAGAAAGCTGCCCCGCCCCCCACTTCTGCATTAGGGTAGGAGAGGAAGGACAAAACAGCAGCAACAGGCACTTCCCTGCCTTTTTATTCCAAATTGGCCAGAAGCCTTCGGCATGTTGCTGTAGGAGTCATTTTCCCCCATTTAAACAGCAGATATTTCGGGGGCGGGGGTGGGGGCTGTGGCCAGAAGCCAGGGCTCCTCCTGGTGTGTCTGTGCCCCACCCGGGACCCTCACCTGCACACGTACACCTCCTCTGGGGGCTGAGTGTTTGGGGTCATGATCCAGGGGGCCACACGGAAGACCACGCTGTCTTGGAAAAGCAGGGCAGCGGGAAGATCCTGAAGGTGTAGTTGAGGCCAGGGCTGTCACCACGGCCGGGCTCCGATACCTACCACTTCCTGGCAAGGCTCTGTACCCCCACCCACGAGGTGGGCCAAGGCCCAGGAGCTCAGATCTCCCCTCGGGCTGCCATCTTGGCCTACCGGGTTGGATGTGTCCAGCAGGGAAATGGTGAGGGAAATGAGCCCCGGGAAGTTGACGTCTGGGAAAGAGAGGCCCTCCACGTAGAAGTCCACGCTGTGCTGGCCGCCTGGGAGCTCCAGGGGGTGACTGGGCTGCTGGGGCCCCAGGACCACCCTGTACCTGGAGATGTCTTTGCCTCCTGGTGGAGAAAGGAGGCTCAGGTCTTCGTTTCCCCGGGGCCATGATGCCTTCCTGAGGCCATCACACTCAGGACAACATGTCACAGCTAAATGGGCCCACCGTAGGACAAAGAAACTAAGGCATCGGGTGGGACATCGCCCCCTGGCTGGGGCTCCATGGGTGGAGTGATGGGGGAGGGGGAGTCTGAGCCATTCCCAACCATATACACACCAGTCCAATGCACATTACAGTTCATTCGTTCATTCATCATTCATCATTCATTCATTCATTCCTGAGCACCTGCCCTCAGCTGACACCTGGGGAGACCAGGGAGGTAGTCCCTGTCCTAGTCCTCAAGGAGTACACAGCCTCCTGGGAAAGGAAGGAGGACCAGAGACAGTCAAATCACAGATGGTAATGAGTGCTGTGATGGAGAGAACCCCGAAGGGTCATGGAAGGCTTCCTGGAGGAGGGGATGCCTCAGCCGAGGTTGTCACTAAATCAATGTCAGTCTAATCAAGTTGATCTGGGATGGGAGTAAGTCAGATCAAGTCGTGCCTCTGCACAAAGCCCTCAGATGGCCTCCCCACGTGGCTCAGAGTAGAAGGCAGAGTCATCCCAGGTCTCCCGGAGCTGGCCCCGCCCCTTTCTTCTCCACCCTCATCAACCACCTGAACGCCTCGTCCTGCACTCCAGCCACACTGGCCTCCCTGCCTGCCTTCCTCAACCCCATAGGAACGATCACACCTTAGGGCCTTTGCCCTTGAGCTTCCCTCTGCCTGGAATGCCCTTCCCCTGGGTGTCTGCGTGACTGCTCCCACACCTCCTTCTGCTCAAATGACACCTTAGGGGGGAAGCTTTCCCCAGCCCCCTCTCCTCCGGGGGGGCCCCCCAGGCTCCACCCCTCAACCACACCCCCTTCCCTGCTGCATTCTTCTGTGCAGCATTTAACCCCATCAGACACACTAGATGCTTTACTTAGTTATTTTGTACATGGTCTCTCTCAACCCAGCAAGAGGGAAGTGACACGTGGACAGGAGCTTTGTCCTGTTCTTTGCTCTATGCCCTGAGCATCTAACAAGCCCGGCACTCAGCAGCGGGGGCTCGTGAGCCGCTGAGAACTTCATGGTGTCTTTGATGAGCAGGATGCTGGAGATCACACTATTATCTAACACCGCGGTCAGCTCGGCTCAGATGCAACACTCTCTGTACACAAGAGTCCTGTGTGTGTGTGTGTGTGTGTGTGTGTGTGTGTGGCAGAGAGGAAGAGACAGACACCACCTTCTTGTTCCTTTGCGTTTCGTCCGCCTGCTCTTTCTAGAAGGGAGAGGCAGGGGTGTCCACCTTGCTCACGGCTGTATCTCTGGTTCTTAGAACGTGCTACTGAACAGGGGCTCAGGAATTATTTGCTGAAGGAGGGTGAGAAGGGGCTGTGCCGGGGCAGGAAGGGGACCCCGAGTGAGGGCCAAGGGTGACTCACGGTTGGCTTGAAACACTCTGACTTTGTCCATCTCCGACTTGGACACGTGGAGGAGCAGCCGGTGCTTGGTGAAGAAGTCCCTGGGGGTGTTGGTGTTCAGGGTCACCAGGGACATGTCCTGCAGGTCTGGAACGAGAAGACCCTCTCCTCTCTCACGGCTCCCCTCAGACCCCACCCCCCTCAACCCTGTCGCCTGATTTTATCTTCATCACGCCCTTGCCAGGATTTAAATAATGATTTTCATTTTGGAATGAGCTTAGGAGGCAAGCTCGGTGAAGCAGGGGTCATGGCTGGCTTGTTGATTGCTCTGTCCCCAGCCCCCAGAGCCTAGAAGCATCTAGAAGCACCGAGAACAAGGACTAGGGCATGACAGTGAGCTGGGTAACTATTTGAGTGGATGGGTTTTTCCTCTGGGCCTGAGTGGGAAGTGAACCAACCCGAATGATAGCCAACACAGGTGTGGGGAGAGCGAAGCTGGACAGGGGTCTCCTCTGGGCATTAGCTCCCGGGTGAAGGGAATCAGAGGTGGTGGGTTCGAGCCCTGGATCTGTGGGATCCTGGGAAGTATTTCATCTCTCCGTGTCTCTGCTTCCTCGTCAGTAAACAGAGCTAAGGGTAGTGCCCACGCACAGGGGAGGGTGAGGTCATGTGTATGAAGGGCTTACGGCGGCAGCCCGCGTCCCGGGAGCGACCATGAAGGGTACTGGTTCTTTTGATTAGGGCCGGGCACTTCGTAGGGGCTGCCCCTTGGCATCAGGCAGAGACAATTGCATGCAACTTCCAAATGCATCCATTTCTATGCTGCCCTAGCAGCTCCCCGGGAAGGCCAGCGCTGCCACCGTGGCTGGCCGACATCCCTCCACCAGAGCCCTCTTCCATCCCAGCCACGCTTCAGAGGGGTGCTGCTGGCGGAGAACCTGCGCCCACCACCATCCTTGTGTCTCTCCGTGGTGTCAGGGTGCCTGATTCCACATCCTGAGCCTGTGACTTACTGGCTATGTGACCTTAAGCAAATTGCTTCACTTCCCCATACCTCAGTTTCTCCATCTGTAAAATAGAGTTGAGGACAGTACGTACTTCCAAGCCTTGTACTGAAGGATCAGATGGGTTAATTCTGAAGAGGTCAGAGCAGTGTCCGGCATGGGGCACCGGCTCGGGGCCGCTCTGACAGGACTTTGGGGCGGAGTTCGGCTTTCATTTTGAATGATTTCGGGTCCCAGCTTTGACCCAAGAGCAGAAATTTAGGTTGGGCCATGGACCGGAGCATGGGGCCTGGAGGAGGCATTGGGAGACTCAGTCCTGGTCCTGGCTCTTCTCTGGCTGCTGTGTGACCTTGGGTGAGTCACTTACCCTCTTTGGGACCTTGTCCATTCTTCTTCTTATGCAATGGACAAGCTAACAAGAACACGCTTCCTTTAAACCCCGTCTCTGAGGGCTGTACCAAGCTCAGGCTGCATAGACAAAAGGGCTTTACAAAAAGACCAACCAAGCTCTATTTCCATGAGCTCTCTGGGCAGGGGGACGCTGAGGGGAGGGGGTCCTCACCTTGGCTGTCCAGCACATCATTGTCCCTACAGTCCATGGTGGAAGATTTGGGACTGTCTCTGTCACAGTTCACCAGCAGGATGGCGCCTTGCCCGCGCGGTCCCCAGGTCCAGGTCCTCTGTGGACACCCAGCAGAGACGGGCCACATCTAGAAACCTACGTATGTCCCTCCAGCTCTTGGGGGAAGCATAACCGCTCTCCCCAGCCCCTCACGAGCCTTGTGCGGTTTACAGATCTCGCTTCCACATCAGCGAATTCTTTAGCCCCAAGAGGGGAATGTTCGCCTGCTCCAAAAATCCTAAACATGGACACCAAAAATGCAATTCAACCACTTCAAAAAACGACCCCCAAGATAGTAAAATTTATTTTAACAGCTTAAAAAAAAACTGTCAGATTGGCAAACTGGACTGAGCTAAATATTTAGGCCAAGATCCTAATCTAAATCGTTACTTTTATGTGAACTCTTCATTACTCATTCTCCAAAGTGTGGGTACTATTCTTAGCAGCCAGTTGCTGTCTGTCCAAAGATTAAAGCAAATTCAGCAGCCCCTCCCAGCAGGGATCTAATAGGGATGACGTCTTCTGTTTGCAGGACAGCGTTGGCCCCCTGGGAATGACTGCGTTCTGGGTGGGACAGAAAGACAGATTCCACTGTCAGAGTTGCAATCCTCCCTCCTCTTTTAGCTGACCCCACGGAGGGATCTTCATCTTTTGACAGGACATATCCTCCTAAAGGGCACACCAGCATTAAGCTGTACAGGCAGCTTGGGGATTTCAGGAACACCCTGGGCTTTGTCCTCAGACCCAGGTAAGGCTACCTTTATGCCGCACCTCTTAACCCTCCATTGTCTTTCAGCAACAGACTTTGGCTGTCCCAGCGCAGGTACTTCCCTCTTCTGCCCCCTGCCAGTTCTCCCTTTCTCTGCTCTTCATTCCCTGTGGGCAGCACCGTAGGGACCTCTCCCCCTAGCCAGGGAAACCCTGGCATGGGGGGATTTTTTTCTCCCAGAGTTAAGAACTGCTGGCAAATTTTTTCTCTGCTGGGCATTAACCTGATGACTCTAGAGTTTCTAATTTGCACAACATGTTCTCTGAACTCACAACCGGTGAAAATCTAGTTTTGCAAAAGAGATGGGAAATGCGTAAATCAAATTGGTAAGGGTGTTTTTTTGTTTTCTCCTTTGCCTTGTTCTTCCTCGAGGGACAGACGGCCATTCGTGCCATCACCACCAGAGGGCGCAAGAGGAGAACCCAGCAGAAGTAGCACCTGGAGTGTTAGGAGGCTTGAGCATACCTGGCCCTTCTTGGCACCGATGGGCTTCACTTTGCCAGTGCGGGCGATGTCCGTGCTCAAGGAGATTTCTGCAATCCCACCGAGTAAGAGGAGAGGGTTGGTGAAGGTACAAGGTCAAGGCACTCAGTGTGGTCCCTGGGAGATTGTCTGCCCCACGGCTTCTCTCCCTCCCCTTCCGAAGAGACACGAATTCAAAGACACCCCCGTGTCTCCAAAGAAGATGTTTAATGGCAACCCAGAGAGCAGAGCTGGAGCTTCTGACCACACCCATTCTCCTTGGCAGGGGTTTGGGGGGCCTCGCCATAGCTGTGATGCCAACCAGATCCTACACATCTGGCCACCTTCCGGGTTCAAAAATAATTCAGAAAGATTTCCTGGCCACCCCAATGGGATGCTTGGAGCCAAACTCCTGGAAGGACACCTAACCAGGCTCTCAAAGTCCTCTGGCCCCAATGTTAGCCCCCAGTGACCTTGGAGCGAGGGATACAGTGGTTACTCCAGCCCCACCTGACTTTTCCTGGTGTGCATTATGGCTGCACGTCATGGTCGCAAAAACCTACCCCACTCTGTCCAGATGTCAAGGCTGAGAAAGCATACGTCTGTTTTTAAGTCCTTCCCACCCTCATTAGAACACATGATCATAGTCTTCCCAGTGACATAGATCTGTGTGCCCATATCATAGGTAGTGACCTTGTGAGCTCACAGTGTGAGACTGACCTGGATGAACTTTTAAACACACCCACAGCCATATTTTAGTGTCAGGCCAGAGCAGCATAGAGTTTAGTGCTCTGGATTATTGGCTCCTTCACTAGCCAGCAGCATGAATTTAGGGAGATCTGTCTACTTCTTGGGCCTCAGTTTCCTCATCTGTAAAATGAGATATAATAGTACCAACTTCATGGGATTGTTGTAAGGTTGTTTTTTTTTTTTAAGATTTTATTTATTTATTTGAGAGATAGGGAGAGAGAAAGAGCACAGGCAGGGACAGGGGCAGAGGGAGAAGCTGACTCCCCAGTGAGTGAGGGGCTGGATATGGGGCTCAGTCCGGGGACACTGGGATCATGACCTGAGCTGAAGGCAGATGCTTAACCACTGAGCCACCCAGGGATCCCAGAATTGTTGTAAGGTTCAAAGGTAAAGTCTTAGCAGAGTGCCTGGTATAGAATTAGTGCTATATTATTCGTATTATTTAAGTGTGCACTAATGAAATGAATGTGTATTTACGAATAAAACTCATTAATGAAATGAAAGTTGAAATTTTCACACGCTATTCTGATACTTAATGCACATTTATTTTATTTTATTTTATTTTAAAATTATTTTAAAAAATTTTTTAAAGATTTTATTTATTTATTTCATAGACAGAGATCACAAGTAGGCAGAGGGGCAGGCAGAGAGAGAGGAGGATGCAGGCTCCCTGCTGAGCAGAGAGCCCGATGTGGGACTCAATCCCAGGACCCTGGGATCATGACCTGAGCCGAAGGCAGAGGCTTTAACCCACTGAGCCACCCAGGAGCCCCCTTAATGCACATTTAAATGGTAATGATAATCATATAATATTACTGTTCAAGATATGTTCAAGTTAGAAAATTACTTTATTTAAAGAAGAATGTTAAATAAATATGAGTCTAGCCAGATCGTTGATATTGCAAAATGGAGAAGATGGGATGTAAGTCATGGCATTTGGGGAACATCAGTCTATATATTATTGTATAAGACAGTGTCATCATCTACTTTTCTTATAAATATTTGAAGTGTCAAAAGGTATAGAGACTCATATGTGGAAAATCCATATGCCACCACTTATGCTGAGAAAATATTAACATATGATGGAACTCCCCATAAATGTTCTCTCTCTCTCCCCAGTTGAGTTACTTTATGGCTCACCAACTGGGGAGGGAATATTTATGAACCACAATATATATAACTAGCTAGAAATTATCCCTTTTCTCTGCTCAGTCTAAAGTGAGCTCCAGAATGTAGTTTCTCTTGGAGAGACACCTTGTAAGGGTGTGTGTATGTGGAGAGGGGCAGTGGCATCCCAAGAACCTGGTCATTACTTACCAACACCAGTGACATAGAGCAGGGCTTGGATGGGGTTGGTCTTGGGTCCATAATATGAAATCTGAACCTAAAAGACAGAGCAAACCATGAAGGTCTTCTCTTAGTCATTCAACAAACACTAACTGGACTTCTGCTCTGTGCCAGTCCAGGGTGAGTTGCTGAGGAGACAAGGACGAGCAAGAAGTGGTGCCAGCCTATAGAAACACCCAACTGATGTGCGTGGAGGGGCAAAGAACTCAAATACTTATGATACTTAGATGAGGGTCCTATGGGAGCCCAGAAATGGAAGGGCTGAGCCAGCCTGGGTGGTATCAGGGAGATACACTTTGAGGGACGAGTAGGAGCTCAGCAGCCAGAGACATGGTGGAGGGGGCATCAGTGGGAGGGCACTGGCTGTAAGCCACAGAAACTGGCTCCAGCAAGCAGAAGGGGTGGAGAGGACCTGCAGAACCAGATCTTGGAAAGGCTGGAGCCCAAGCCCTCTGGGGATCTGGACAGTGGGAGCTTTGGGGAGCTAGTCTCTTCAGCGCTGGTGAAGATAAAAAACACCAACCCTTACTGCCCAGGGTTCAAAATCCAGGAAGAGTGGATATGACTGACCCACCCTGGCCAGAGGAGGGCAGAGCACCAGGATGGACACTTTGAAGCGAAAATGGCAGAGGGGAGTTCCCCAATGCAAAACCAAAGAGCCGGAAGAAGAGGCTCTCCTGAGGGGATAGACTGAGGGGTTTGGGTCTGTCCTGCAGGCAGTGGGGATCCAGGGAAATGTCACAGCCACCATCACCTCATGTCTAGACCACGGCACCAGCCTCTAGTCGACTGCCTGGATTCAATCTACTTAGGACACTGCGGCCAGTGGGGTCTTTCTAAGACAAATGCAGACTTGTTATTCCCTGGATAGTAGGTTTTCACTGGCTTCCTGTTGCCCTCAGAAAGTGAGGTCCCTGATGCCAAACTCTCTAATACTGGCTACCTCTGTCCCCCAATTCCGTCTTCACCCTCTTTTCTTGCCATACATCTCTTCCTCAGTTTCCCCAGCACATGCTTGACCATCTCCTCCTCTAGAGTGTGCACACAGGCCACATATCCCTTATAGAGTTCTCACTCTGCTTTCCCTCTCTTAGGCAGATCATTCCTACCTCCTTCAGCTTGCCACTTCTTCCAGGAAGTCTTCTTTGGTTGCATATACCACCACTTATGTTGAGAAAATATTAACATATGTATTTATGTTACATAATACTTTGAGGCTCAAGTTCTATGCTCCTATAGTAGGCAAGAACTCTCTGTCCCAAGGGAAGGCTGAATGGACTATCCTGCTGGAAACAACTGCTCATTGGCCCAGATCTCTGTGGGAACCCCAGAGGATCCTGTTGAGCTTATCTATAGTCAGAGGGGTGGAGTGGGTTGAGTGGTGGTCCCCAAAAACATATGTCCACATCCGAATCCTTGAAACCTGTGAATGTGACCTTATTTGGAAAAAAAGGTCTTTGCAGATGTAGTTAAGTGTCTTGAGATGAGATCATCATGGATTATCCAGGGAGACCTTAAATCCAGTGACTAGGGTCTTTATAAGAGTGAAGCAGAGGGAGATTTGACAGCGTGGGGCGGGGGGACAAGACCACAGAAGCAGAGACTGGAGTCTAGGAAGCTAAAGGAGGCCAAGAACTGGTTCTTCCAGAGCCTCCAGAAGGAGTGATGTCTGAAGACACTTTAATTTTGAACTTCTGTCCTCCAGAGAGAATACATTTCTGCTGATTTAATCCAGTAGCTTCTGATCATTTGTCCAGCAGTCACAGGAAGTGGACATGGACCAGAACTTCCCAGGGCTGCCTTAGCACTCACCACCACTTCTAATGACTTACCTGTATCTTACCCATAGGTTGTAAGCCCCATGCAGGCTGCAACCTCACCTGTCCTGTTCCCTTCTCTATCCCCAGTGCCTGGTAGTGGCTGGCATGTAGGAGGTGAATACTAAACATTTGCTGAATGGATGAATTTAGTAAAAACCTGGCTTCCATAACCCTCCAACATCCCTATATTGTCTGCCAGGATTCCATGGCTGGAACGGTCTCCATAGTATCCAGAAAAGAGAATGCTCTGCCAGAGCTGGGGCTGTGGGTCAGTGCAGGGTGGACTGTGAGCAGCTGACCTGCTGCTACCTGCTGACCTCCTCCCACACATCCCACCCCACGGCTGCCACACTCACCTTCTGGTCACCTGTGCTACTGCTGGCAGCTTTCATCCGCAAGCTCACTTCCAGGCTAGGGTCCAAGGACCACTTGGAGGAACCTGTGGTATTCTTCTTGGCTGGAGGGCTGTGGGCAACATCCACAACCACTCCTGGGGACGCATTGATGCTGAAGGACGTGTAGCCCATGGGGGCAGAGCTGTGGAAGAGACAATAGGGAGGAAAGAGGGGCTCAGTGAGGGAGGCATGGCCCTCTACTGCTCTCCCAGCATTCTTCCCTTTCCCCCCAGCAACTGTAAACCCCACATGGCAGCCAGTTGACTCTGACCATGGAAATGAAGTGCTGTGAGGTTGTTGGTAGGTAGCGAGAAACAAAAAAAAAAAATTTTCCTGACCTGAAGAGGTTACACTTGAGTTAGGAGAATTGCAGAGGGAGGGGCACACAGAGCAGCACAAACTACTGCTTCTGGCATATGGCACACCGGTGCTCTTGCAAAACAACTAGATCGTGATTAAAATATACTTTTTAGAGCACTGCTGAGATCATGAGATGTAAGAGAGATCTCCAAGGACTCCCTTCTCTGTGTGCATCCACACACACATACACACCATGGAGGTTATATTGAGGAACACTGAAAACAAAGAGGAGATATTAAAGATATCCAGAAAGAAGAGTCAGGTCACCTATGAAGGAATTACTATTAGATTAAAAGCAGGTTTCCCAATAGCAACAACAAAATCCAGAAGACAATTGAATAACATCTGCAAAGTATTTTGGAAAAAGAATTTTGAAAAAATAACTGCTTACTTTGAATTGTGTACCCCAACAAAATTTTATACATACACATATATATGTATATATATAAATATAGATAAAGATTTTTGAAATTTATTTGAGAGAGTGAGAAAGAGAACATGAGTGATGGGGAGGGATAGACAGAGAGGGAGAAGAAGACTCCTTGCTGGAGCTGGGAGCCTAATGTGGGGCTTAATCCCAGAACCCCAAGATCCTGACCTGAGCTGATGACAGATGCTTAACTGATTGAACCACCCAGGTGCCCCAAGAAAAAACTGTACAAATAAAAATACCAAAAAGGTAAAAACAAGTCCAAATATATGTATAATCAAAGTAAATATCAATGTATCAATGTTACCAGTTAAAAGAGAGTTTTGACTTAGAGAAACAAAACTCAGTTACATGAAATTTGTAAGAACTACCTAAAATATAAAGATCCAGAAAAGATGAAATTTAAAGGAAAGGAAAAACATACATTAGGCCAATACTGACCAAAAGAGGGTTGGGGTGGGTATATTAATATCAGATAAAGTTAATTTTTAGATGAAAAACACACTATTAGCAATAGAGAGGAACACAACCTAATAATTTAAGGTTCAATTCACCCAGAAGATATTCTAAACTTGTATGCACCTTATAACATAGCTCCAATATACATATAAGGCAAAACTGATAGAAATGCAGGGAGAAGTTGACAAATCCATCATCACAGTTGAAGACTGCAAGTCTTCTTTCTCAATCAACATAGATTAAGCAGACGAAAAAATTAGTAACAAAATTAACAAGTTTGATTTGTTATGCATATACGGAATTCCTTGCTCCACAACTGGTAAATATATAGTGCACACGGATCAATAAAAAAACATTGATCACATAGTTAACCATCAAAGCAAGTTGCAGCAAATGTAAAAGGATAGGTCATATACAATATAGATAGCACAGTCTTTGATCAGAATGTGACTAAGTTAGGAGTCACTAATATAAAGTCCATTTTTAAGCCCATACATTTGGAAATTTTAAAGCCAGACTTATAGATAATTTACAAGTCAATGGACAATTAATGGAAATTAAATAATAATACTCAGGACTGAGCAATACTTAAAATACATTTCAAAACTTTTGGGGGAGCTAAAGGTGTTGCTTTGTGCCTTAAATGCTTAGATCTTCAAAAAGAAGAGAAAGGTTAAAAAATAAGTATATAGGAAAAAACAGAAAAATAGAATGTAATCTCCCAAACCACAGAAAATAAAGATGGTAGAAATCCGTGAAATATAAATCAAGTAAATCAACAAAGCCAAAATAGACTAATATAACTGGTAAACTTCTGGCAAGATTGATCAAGGGAAAAAATAAGAAAAATGAAAAAAAATCCCTACAGGAAAGGCAGATTATTTTGTAGATAGTTGATAAAAGGTAACAGAACCCCACAGCATGATTATCTATAACATCCCCCCCCAAATTTTAAACCTTAAATTAAAAAAAAAATACTAAGAATTCAATAAGGTAGATAGTAAGGTGGAGAGGCAAAAATCAGTTGCATTTCTGTACAGCAGCAGTAAATTGTTAGAAAAATAATTTTTACAAACCGATATATAATTTACATTAGGAAAAAACACTGCAAAGTACCTAGAATAAATCTAACAAAAGATATGAAAGGATTTTATGGAGAAAACCAAACCTATTGAAAACATTAGAGAAGACCCAAATTAATAGAAGGAAATAACATGGAATTCCAGGACATTTCATGGAACTTGACAAGTTGATTCCAGGAGTGACATGACAAACCAAGGGACTAACACAATTAAAGTACTCCTTAAGGAAAAGAAGCAAAACGTAAGGGACTTGCTCTACCAGGTATGAGTTACCAGGAAGCTATGGATGGTGCTATAATGGCTCAGGCAGAGACAAATGACAGATATAACTTAAGAGAGATTCTCCCTGAAAAGTGAAACCTCCTACACTGTTGGTGGGAATGCAAGCTGGGGCAGTCGCTCTGGAATACAGCATGGAGTTTCCTCAAAAAGTTGAAAATAGAGCTACCCTATGACCCAGCAATTGTGCTACTGGGTATTTATCCCAAAGATACAAATGTAGTGATCTGAAGGGACACCTGCAACCCAATGCTTATAGCAGCAATAGCCACAGTAACCAAACTCTGGAAAGAGCCTAGATGTCCATCAACAGATGAATGGATAGATGTAGTATATACATACACACACACACACACACACACACACACACACACACACACACACACACGATGGAATATTATGCAGCCATCAAAAATGAAATCTTGCCATTTGCAATGACACAGATAGAACTAGAGGGTATTGTGCTAAGTGAAATAAGTCAACCAGAGAAAGACAAGTATCATATGATCTCACTGATATGAGGAATTTGAGAAACAAGAGAGGATCATAGAGGAGGGGAGGGAAAAATGAAACAAGATGAAACCAGAGAGGGAGACAAACCATAAGAGATTCTTAATCTCAGCAAACAAACTGAGAGTTGCTAGAGTGGAGGAGGGTGGGAGAGATGGGGTGGCTGGGTGATGCACATTGGGGAGGGTATGTTAACACATACCTCACATATGGTGAGCACTGTGAATTGTGTAAGACCTATACCCCTGAAACAAATAATACATTATATGTTAATTAAAAAGAGAGAGAGAGAGAGATTCTCCTTGATCTGCGACCAAAGTGATCTTGTAAATAAGCAGGCAAAGGGAAGATTATGTAACAAATGGTGCTGGGACAATTGCTTGCTCATAGGGAAAATAGTTAAATTGGATGAATAATTAAATCGATCCCATCCTCACACCATATATAAAAACAAGCTCCAGGTGGATTTAAGGCTTAAAAATGAAAGGCAAAAATGTGAATTTTTTTAAAAATAGATTTTATTTTTTAGAGAAGCTTTAGGTTCACAGCAAAATTGAGTGGAAAGTCCAAAGATTTTCCATATATCTCCTGCCCTCCACCCCCATGCACAGCCTTTCCCATTATCAGCATCATCCACTGGAGTGATACACTCATTAAAATTGATAGATCTACATCAATACATCATAATCATCCAAAGTCTGCAGTTTACATTATGTTTTGCTCTTGGTGTTGTACAGTCTATGAATTTAAACAAATGTATGCATGGTGACATGTATCCACCATTATGGTATCATACAGAGTAGTATCATTGCCCTGAAAATCCTCTGTACTTGTGATTGAGTTCCAGTTTCAAAGCATTATGGTCCGAGAATATGCAGGGAATAATCTCAATCTTTTGGTATCGGTTGAGACCTGACTTGTGACCCAGTATGTGGTCTATTCTAGAGAAAGTTCCATGTATGTTTGAGAAGAATGAGTATTCTGTTGTTTGAGGGTGGAATGTTCTGTATATATCTATGAACTCCATCTGGTCCAATGCATCATTCAAAGCTCTTGTTTCTTTGTTGATTTTCTGCTTAGAGGATCTGTCCGTTGCTGAGAGTGGAGTGTTGAGGTCTCCTACTATTAGCGTATTATTATCAATATGTCTCTTTATTTTGGTTAATAGTTGGCGTATGTAGTTGGCTGCTCCCATGTTGGGGGCATAGATATTTACAATCGTTAGATCCTCTTGTTCGATAGCTCCTTTTAGCATGATATAGTGCCCTTCTGTATCTCTAACTACAGTCTTTAGCTTAAAATCTAATTTGTCTGATATGAGAACTGCTACCCCAGCTTTCTTTTGAGGTCCATTGGCATGAAAAATGGTTCTCCATCCCTTCACTTTCAGTCTGGATGTATCTTTAAGTTCAAAATGAGTCTCTTGTAGACAGCATATGGATGGGTCCTGTCTTTTTATCCAATCTGCAACCCTGTGCCGTTTCATGGGAGCATTTAGGCCATTCACGTTGAGAGTGATTATTGATAGATAGGATTTTATTGTCATCATGTTTCCTGTGAATTTTTTGTTTCTATAGGTAGTCTCTGTAAATTTCTGCTCTATGTCACTCTTGGGGGTCTTTCTCCTTTTATAGAAACCCCCTTAATATTTCTTGCAGGGCTGGCTTTCTGGTCACATATTCTTTCAGTTTCTGCTGGTCTTGGAAGCTCCTGGTCTCTCTGTCCATCTGAATGACAGCCTTGCTGGATAAAGTATCCTTCAAAATCCTAGAGGAGAACATAGGCAGTAATCTTTTGACATAGGTCACAGCAACTTCTTTCAAAACACGTCTCCAAAGGCAAGGGAAACAAAAGTGAAAATGAACTTTTGGGACTTCATCAATATAAAAAGGTTCTGCACAGCAAAGGAAACAGTCAACAAAATGAAGAGACAACCCACGGAATGGGAGAAGATATTTGCAAATGACACTACAGATAAAGGGCTGGTATCCAAGATCTATAAGAACTTCCCAAACCAAACAC